ACAGAGACACACAAGGACCAACAACCACACACACTCACACTCATCCTAAGGGCAATTTGGAATGTCCAATCAACCTAACATGCAGGTTTTTGGATGGTTGGAAGAAGCTGGAGAACCCGGAAAGAACCCACACAGACACAGGGAGAACATGCAGACTCCACCCAGAAAGGTCCTTGATCCACCGGGAACTCGACCCCAGAACCTTCTTGCTGTAATGGTGCTAACCACAACACCACCGTGCCGCCTGATTCATCGCATATTTTGTCTTGAGAAGATCCTAAACAAAGTCAGTCATTAGGACCTTACATCGCAGACGCACAAAGAGGAGACTTCCCAAAAGAAGGTAGATCTGCGAGGAAAATCAGAGGTGACGGTATCATTTATTTATTTGTGCTGAAGCAGCTAGTTTTTTTCCTACATCAGAATGTACGTCAACCCATTCATCAAACAGCTCCAGCATGTGCGTTCTCCTCTGTGCTTCTGCTTAATGTTGTGTTACTTCCCGCTACAGCGTCGGTCCACTTCCCTGGCTGTGGCTGCCTGTTGGCGAAAAGACGGGCCTCTCGCCACCGGGCTGCATCTCACTACATCACCAGCCGTTTGCCCAGACTGCTACGGCGGACAGTCTCCGTCCCAAATCGAGATTTCAGGTCTGGCCGAGCAACAGCGAGGGTGGCCGGGGACACAAGAGGAAAAGCTTTAAAAGCTTTAAATCTGGGTAGATCTGAGATAAGATGACTTTGAGATTTCCATATAGCTCAACAACAACATCCCTTAGATGCTCAACAAATTGACTGCACAAGCATCTATTGTTTCTTTCTTTTCCCACTTTGTCACATACTGTTCTACTAGATCAACCCCTTCTTAATTTATTTAGCCTGAATTGAAATGCTCCCATTATTAGTCACTCAGAAAAGACGTAAAAGCTTGAACAGAAATGATAGTAATGACCATCCATTTCCCCCTCACCTTCTTCTTATGCGTGAATGAGGATTGCTTTAGATGCAGTCTTTCGTTTTAGGGTGCAAACATCTGTTTTGCTTTGCGCGTGAACAAAATACATACTCAGGATTTGGAGAAATGATTAAAAAAATAAGAAAAAGGAAAATAAAATTAGAATTTCCTATATGTTACCACCCATTGGTGTTGATCAGTGTTCCCTTTTTTGTAGCACAAGTTTCTTGTGTTTACTTTGAATACATTCAACCTCATATCTACATTCATTTGTACACTCGATTTCAAGATGGCTGAAATTCTTTTGGATTATTTTTGACAATTGACAACGCATAACACATAGTACAAGAAGCCACTTTTAGAATTCACAGATGTACGACACAATTGAAAGATTTTACGGTTCCGTCATCATAATATTAGTCTTAGTTCCATTTCATTTAGAGAGTAAATTCAAGAATAAAAACATTTCGTAGTCTATGGGTATTTTCATGTTAGGTTGAGTGGATTGTCTGTAACAAGACAAGTAATTCTCATTTAAAATACAGTCATTAGACAGTCATTGTAAGTTATTCCCTTAGCACATGTGGGGGTTAAAAAAAGAGCAATCGCTTATCTGAAATGAAAAGTAAATAGGAACAATTACCATGAAAAATAGAAAAAAAAAACATCCATATAAATGACATGACCCGGACACGAACTTTGCAATGATCCATTATGATGTCTGTCACACGCAGCGAACAGACAGTGGGAAGCTATTACTGCAATCCCTTTATTCTCTGCGTCTCTAAAACAGGGAAAAACGTTCCCTAATAAGCCTACCATTATCTTTGGAGCCATAAAGCAGACATTAAAACATTTTCTTCTGAGGCTTCGCGAGCTCTCAAGGTCTACTTTTATATGCCATTTATATGCCGGCTCATTTATATGCTGTTTAGGTTGAGCTCCATAAGTCGCCTCTTTCGTATGTTCTTTCATCACCAGATGTTGCATGATTACACTGAATGTCATCCTTCCCCTCGTTTGAGTTTGTAGAAAATCTCTGCAGGAGCACAGAGTTGGAGGGAGGGGAAAAAAAGCTAAACAAGAAAACACAACTTGGCAAGAACGCAGAATGCGCTCTGTTGAATCTTTATTAGCTTTAACAGGCAAATGCTATGAAATCACAAGGAGGGCTTTGTGAAATTCTCCCTGCTTCAACACACCCTCTGCACATCTCTGCTAATTTTTTTGAAAATCTCTCTCCTCTCTCAGAAGCTGTTTTGTTGCCGGGTGTGATTATTTGAACGTTACAGTTTGCTACGGACGGAAAAGCAGATAAAGGGCGCTGCAAAATCCCCCTTTGAAAACGGATATGCAGACTAAGAACCGCAGCTTAACTGTCATTTGTAATCGACTTGTTTGAAACCCTTTTTCTCTCATCTCTTTCGTTCAGTCCCCGTGGAATTCTTTCTCTTGCTCTCTCATGGCTCTGCTCAACATAAAAAAGAAGCCTGAGAGGGAAGTTTCACTCATCACAAATACATTTAGAGTGAAAAAAGCAACCAGGGAGGAGTGTTTATTTGTCTTTTAGCATTTTTCCATGTGGATGATCCTGATTTTTCATGTCTCTGAGCACATCAGAGCTCTGTTTACCATCTCCAGACAGCCGACGCTATCTCAGATCGATTCAAATGAGGTTTTTTCCACGCTATTTGACAGCGCGCGCTTCCAGTTTACTTCAGCCATCGTCTTGCGACTCCTGGGCCTGGCGGTGTGGCTAATCTGGCTCAGGTTGGAGCTCAACTGTCTCGGCAGGACCCCAGCAAAGGGTGTGTGTGTGTGTGTGTGTGTTGGGGGGGTGGTGGTGGCTGTCTATCTCCAGTTCAAAGAGGGACCCTGATTAAAATTCTCGAGGCAAAAAGCAGAGGCATGAGACACACAGAGACAGAGATGGGGGTGGGGGTGGGGGGGGACGGAACAGGACTCCCCAGAGTTCCTGTCAAGTTGGGTATCTGCTCGCTCGGACTTGGACTCTGGCCACCGCGGCGCCTACCGCGGCTGGCTGTGAACACTTGGCAGCCCGCGGTCTGGATCTTTGAAGATAACGTATGCTATTAAAAACAAACAGAAGCAATTACCGGCGAGGCAGAGAAGAGGAGAGGGATGGGATTAGGTCAGGACCAGCGCCCGTCTCACTCAAGTCTAAACTGATGAGCTCAGGCACTCCAAAGACAGAGGAGATACCGATCCCTTCTCACTGACCCCCCCCCCCACGTGTTCGTGCACGCTACCGTCTACGCGCACGCATGCAAACATGCGAGTCAGCACTTTGCATGCGTTGAGCTGTATATTTGCACGGATGACTTCTTTAATGCGAATGCTTTTATATTCAGGCCACAGGACATTGGTTTTCATTTAGCATCTGGGTAAATAAGTGAACCAGTGGTGAAAAGAATGTGTCACACGTCCTCCTATTCACAGTCGACGGTGCCAAAAACGTGTCGTCTGGGAATAATTTCTCGTGTAACTTCATGTGTATCTTCAAAAAACACTTTATTACATCTTCTGGTTTGAGAAACAACATTCCAAACTTCTTTAAAACTGAGGAAAATGATGATGTGTTGTCAAAATAACATGTTAATAGTCATTAACATGTTATTGGGAGATTACTGGCCGGGAAAAAAAAAAATCAGGTGGGCAAAAATACTGAGCATTAAGATAACCGTGACCAGCGACTAATGACAACCAAACAATAAGCTGATCATTATAAAGCGTATGAACCCTTTCGAGCTTCTAAATTTTTGCATCACCTGAGATTAAGGGGTTCTCAGTCCAAACATAGAAAAGAGAAAAATTGACATAACAAATGAGGCCATGTTTCATATCCTTATTTAGCATGTCTCTATTGAGAAGTCCGGATAGAGAAATTACTGTTCCATATTGAGCATCATCATTAAAAGCTTTAACTCATCATTAGAAAAGCATTTTTTCCTCCTTAACTTTACTCAAGTAGAACAATCAGAGTGCCTAGGGTGAATGTCCTGCTGCAAGACTTTTTCTTTTTTCCCCCAGGGTTTATCTTTGTTTATTAAACCATGCTAACACCACAGATGGATACGTTTCTTAAACATATCTAAACTCATTTTGAACTCACATACCAGTCTATTCTCGTCTCATCTGTCTATAAAACATCCTTCTGACATTTGCCTGACCTTAAGCACAATGCTGGTAATGGGTGATATTCTGTTAAGAAAAGACTGGGATTCGATTTGTGATTGTGCAGAGATTGTGAACGCATGAACTCACCTTTCTTTTTTTTTGCCGTGACCCTGTCTTTCTGATGTGACGACCAGCTGTTTTAAGTTTTAAAGTTAAGCGGACATTTTTACAAAAGTCCAGAAACTTCCAACACTTTGCTGAGTTAAACCAATAAAGGACAGAACACCAAGAACCACGGCCTGGTTTAGGCTATGATAAATCTGATCTCTGAGTAATTTAGAAC